TAATTCTAAATTAGTGCTAGCTTTAGTTTAACTTTAGATGTAGCAATTTATTATTGTCTGAGCTTCAATTCTTGTATATAATTTATTATCAGGTAGTTTCATATAAACTCCTAACTATATTTTACTCAAATAAAGATAGAGGCAAGACCTCACCTCAACTGCAAGGTTGAAATTTAAAAAAAAAGAAAGTGCTCAAATTATTATATCAAATCTTCTTTATAGTATCTCGAAATTGATTAAATAATTGATCAAATATCATAATTATTAAATCAACCTATTAATAAATTGACCCTTTATAATATCCAAATCATAACCAAATCATAACTTTTGATAAATATAACTAAGACAATCTATAGACCCAACTCTAATAATCTATATACTTATCTAAGTAACCCTAATCTCAGACCAAGTTAATCCTTACTTCTTTCAAGCTTTATCCAAGTTAGAGTTATCTCTTAGTTAGATTTTTGAATTATCTTGATTTATTAGTCAAACCTGAAACTCTATATAACCAAACTTCTGGATGAGTTTTAATCTAAAATATTATAAAGGTCTAATTTGACTCTCTAGAAATACTGCACTTTGACATAATATGATATCCTATTTTTAGTTTTAGAATCTTGTTTAGTCTTTTTATATGTAGTATATCTTAGATATGTATGATAGTCTTATCTTGAAAACTGTAAAAAATCATTATTTATCTTAATTAAATTAGCTGATATTCATGATATAATATATGTGATATTTATAGAATTTATAGCAGATATGTCATATCTGGCACATATGGTATATATATCATATCTGACATATTAGGCATATATTAAATATATTCTAAATATACCTACTAGTATCGCAAAAAGTATAAAAGCAATATCTTATTTTTTTTAAACTCAACTCAGCTTATTGCGAGTTCAATAAAACAATCTTAGATTTGAGAAATAAAATCTCTTCCTATAGTAACCCTGATATCATATTTGTTAATTCACAATTACTCCCTTCTGATTATATACAAACTGACTTTAACTCTAGTAAACTTGTACCAAATCTTTTACGCTCTCTTTTTGCCTTCTACTATTAGAGTTATAGTTAGTTTAGTAGTAGGTTGTAGAGAGATTAATATGAGACCATTGTCACAACTTACTCTCAGACCCTAAATTCCTATTTCATCCTCAACATTTGGTAGTGACTGTGAGATTTGCAATATCTAGAACCAATCTGTGAGATTCAATATAACCCAACCAAGACCCAACTCACAGAAAATAAGATAGAAATTATCAAGAATATTCCTAAAGATATTAAGAAGCCAAAGGACCAACAAAAATATTGGTCTATTGCTAATATTTTAGAAAGTGAAAATTGGTAAGAGAATGAAGTCTTTGCTATCCTAATTAAGGTGTTAGAATATATAAAACTGAGCAGAAATTGATAGCAAAAATTAAACTACTGTAGAACAACTAAACAATATAGCAAAACATTCTACATATACAACTACTCAACTATCAAGGACACTATACCTTAAAGAAGTTAGATTTCTGTAGTGCTTTATATGTAATCTAATGCTATAATTACAACTTAGTAGCTAACATACTCTGTAACTTGTTAGTATTACAAGAACAGATTATTGAGGGAGCCCAACAAGAAATTATTCACCGCAAATTAATAAAAGAATCTGGAATCAATTCTGGAATAGAAAAAAAAATTGTTAGTACTAAATATGCTCACCAATTCTTAATCTAGAACATTTAACGAATCTATAACTTAGAAATAAGCTAACCCAACTCTAAATCTGACAGTAAATGGAATCTAGTCTAAGTTGTCAGTATTCTAGTATTAACCTCTAGAGAAAATAAATTAAAAAGTTTAAATTAGCAAAATTCAAAAAAAAAAATAAAATTTGAATTAAACTTATAAAAGAAGATTGGCATTATATTATACTGTACTAGATTATATCTTATCCTCGTGATAAGAAGGAATTACATTACTAAAAATAAAAGGTACTAAAAATTGTAATACCAATATAAGATTCTTAGGCCATAAGGTTGTTCATATAATGTCTTTTAGTATAGTAGAAATTAAACTAAGATGAAAATTTGAATAGAAATAAGAAAAGAAACGTCCACATTAACTGCTGGATAAGTTTTGAAAGAAATCCAGGAAAATGTTAAAGTGTATTTCATCTGAGTTTGAAACTTATAATAGAAGAAGTGAAATATAAACTTCAAAAACCTAAGAATTTATATGTGTAGAACATATAAATTAATAAGAGGAGAATTATAAAGGTCTAATTTAACTCTCTGGAAATACTGTGCTTCGATGTAATATGATATCTCATTTTTAGTTTTAGAATCTTGTTTAGTCTTTTTATATTGTTGTTTAGAAAAACAGCAAGTCTGTTACTCAATCTTATGAATCTTTATATAACGAAACAGGATAACCTATCAAAAGATAGCGTAGAAATTAGGCAAAGAAAATTTCAAGGCTTCAGTTATCATTTAGACTCTAGTCACATAGTTAGTCTTAATGTTATTGAGTTTCTTAACTTCCCTTAATCTATTCAAGTTGACCTATTCTCTCTCTTAGGATAGTCAAATACAAGATTTACTAGGCAAGTTCTCTCTTTTCAATAACTTAATGATACTTTACTCTATTACAAAAAGTAAATAGGCAGCATAACATTATTTGGGTTATATTTTATTAACTTAGTGATAATCTGGTTGGGAATTTATAAGTAAATTTATTGTATAAAGAAAGGTTTTGACAATTTATTTATAAGTAAAAAAGTTTTATCTAGTCAATAATGTTTTTTATTAAAGGGCAGAATTGCTTACCTATATACTTGTTAGAACAATAGCTTTGGTGATAACATTTATCGCTCTTAAAACTATTATAATATATATAATGAATAAAATCATTAAAATCAATAAAACCTTTATAACAATTATAAACATTATAATTATTATAAATGCTATAACTCTTAAAACTACTATAATGAATATATAGATAATAATAGTTATATTCCTTAAAACTACTATAACCATTATAACTATTATAACCATTATAACCATTATATCCCTTATAACTATTATAACCACAGGTTCCCTATAAAAGTAGAAGATCTACTTAGCTACAAAATTATGCTGCAGCTAAGTTATATAAGCTCTGAAAAGGAAGCTTGAAATCTAATTTCTCCATATAACAATTTTTCTTCTCTAATTCAGTGAGTTCTATGAACATCAACTCTCAGGATCAATTGGCTATCGATTACCTCTTGTTTGGTCTGGTTCATTCATGTCTTCAAGAATTTTGGTATCTATGGCATCTCTTTACTAGATGCAGTGTTTATTACTTGCCAACACCAGGCTCTATATACAGCTTATAAGTCCCTCAAGGCCATTTCTTAACTAATTCTCTTGAATTAGAGTCTTTCTGTGATCTATTGGCTACACTTTGATACTAATTCAGACTATCAGTATAGATGTATTCTTTTCTTCCCTTTTTTCATTTTCTAATCTTTATTTTACTTTCTTTCTTTAAATGCATTAATTGTTCTTTACATTTTCAGTAAATCTTGGTGTCATAATCTATTTAATAAGCCTCTTTATTTGCTTATTAGATAAATCTTCATGTTCTTTTCTAACTTTTTTTCTAATTAGGTTTTCTTCTCTTTTCATAGCCTACCTGGCAAAGTTCAAAACAAGTTGTGGTTTGGACTTTTCATCTTATTCAGGTAAGTCTTCATAAATTTCTTTTTCTAATTTTTTAATTCAATTAATTCTTTTTTTCTTTTTTATTGTAAAGTGCTCCTTTTCTCTCGTACTTTACTGTCATAACTGTTTTATAATTTTTTTTGGTGTCATGTCCATTATTATAATCAACTTTTTTTTTTTTTTTTTTTATTATTTTATATTATTATTTTTTTTTATATATATATATGTCACTAATCCTTCTTCTTTTACAGGTTTTCAATTGGGTCTTTACAGATTTGCCCTTGCTATTATATCTTCAAAATCTATTCTCTTAGGGTTAGAAGATTAAGTAGATTGTTAGCCACAAGTTGGTATCTACTGAAATTGGTCTAGTAAATAGCTTTTCTTAGCTTTAACTTTCCTATGGCAAAATAACTTCTAAGAGTAGGGTGAGTATAAATGAAGTATGTATTTTCATATTCTATATGCTAAGCAGAGAAGGCTAACTTCTGTTTTCTCTTTTTAGTCATCTTTTAGTACTAGAATACTGATACATCGATAAATTTCACTCCTTTTTTAGGTATTAGTGATCTTTTAGTATTCTCTTTTATTAGAATCTGAATAGTTAATTCTGTTTTTGGTAAGTCTGAATCATTACTAACTTTTGGCTTAGGTTTATTTATTAATTCTAGGCCTTCTTTTTTCATAGTCTTGGCCTTAGTTTCTATCTCTTCGGGTAAAGTAAGATCTGTTTTTATGTTTTCTGTATTCATACTTTCTTTTTCCTTATTAATTTCAGTATCAAGACCCAATCAGAATTATTATTTTTCTTGACTGCTACAATACTACTCACCCAACTAATGATATTATTTCTTATAGATGTCTTCTCAATCTTATACTCTAGGTCTACATCCTACTAGATTTTGTCTGCACCTAAGTTAAGTTATTTGGCATGTATTTCTATCTCTGTTTTTTTTAGGCAAGTATACTAAAATTCAGTTGTTTTTCTTATTTCTAAATACTAATTCTATCTTCTCTTTTTAGGTATCCTTTGGTTTTTTTTTCATCAGGAGGTAAAATGCATCAATCTATAGAGGCTATATCGAATCTCACAGTCACTACTAAAATGTTATCTGAAAAAACAATGAGTCTGTTGCTCAATCTTATAGATCTTTATATAATAAATTAGGATAACCTATCAAAAGATAGCGTAGTAATTAGGCAAAGGGAATTCCAAGACTTCAGTTATCATTTAGACTCCAGTTAAGTAGTTGGTCTTAACGTTATTGAGTTTCTTAACTTTCCTTAATCTATTCAAGTTGACCTATCCTCTTTTTTAGAATAGTCAAATACAAGATTAACTAGGCAAGTTCTCTCTTCTCAATGACTTAACAACACTTTACTCTATTACAAAGAGTAAATAGATAGCATAATGTTATCTGAGTTATGTTTTATTCACTTAGCAATAATCGGGTTGGGAATTTATAAGTGAATTTATTGGGTAAGGAAAGGTTTTGACAATTTATTTATGAGCAGAAAAGTTTTATCAAGTTAATAATATTTTTTATTAAAGGGCAGAATTGTCTGCTTATATACTTGTTGGCACAATGGGTTTGGTGATAATGTTTATTACTCTTAAAACTATTATAATACATATAATGAATAAAACTATTAAAATCTATAAAACTTTTATAACGTTTATAAACATTATAATCATTATAAATACTATAACTCTTAAAATCACTATAATGATTATACAGGCAATAATAGTTATATTCCTTAAAACTACTATAACCATTATAACTATTATAACCATTATATCTATTATATCCCTTATAACCATTATAACCATGGGTTTCCTATAAAAGTGAAGATCTACTTAGCTATAAAATTATGCTGCAGCTGAGAAATATAAGCTTCAGAAAGAAAGCTTGGAACCTAATTTCCCTATATAACAATTCTTCTCCTCCAATTCAGTGAGTTTTATGAACATCATCTCTCAAAATCAATAGGCCATTGATTACCTCTTGTCTGGTCTAGTTTATTTATGTCTTCAAGAATTTTGGTATCTATAGCATTTCTTCACTAGGTACAGTATTTATTACTTACCAACACCAGGCTCTATACACAGCTTATAAGTTTCTCAAGGCTATCTCTTAACCAATTCTCTTGAATTAGAGTCTTTCTGTAATCTATCAGCTACACTTTGATACTAATTCAGACTATCAGTATAGATATATCCTTTTCTTCCCTTT